TTTTCCAATCTTTCTTGAATCCACAGATTCCTGTGGATTTATCTTTAAAATTTGCTAGAGAGGTAGGTGAATAAACAGACAGATAAGGCCAGGATATTTTAATTTTATTGTTCACTGGTAATTATTTTATTGGGAAAAGTCATCAGTATCTTATTTTTAGAATTAATTAATTTAAAACATAATAATGATGTCTTATGACATTAAATATGAAGCCATTTGAATAGTTACGTTTAACATTGTTTTTAAGCTTGTGATGTCATAGGCTGAAATGCTTCTTAGTATATAGGGCAGGCTGAAACTCATTTACTTAAAAAGCAGTACCAGTATGAAGATATATACTATAATATTTATTTAGTCTATATTGAACATCTGGTATGTTTTATTTTCACGATTTTGCAGCAAATGCATTACCAAGGAAAGCACAAATAATCTATATGCCAGAGCAAAATTACCATAGAAACGTTTACTTTAAACATAGACTTTAATGTTTCATTTACTTTTCCCCAAGAGATATGATGGGAGATGGAAAATACCCATTTGCTGAAGCAGAAACCTTCCATAAACAATAATGAAAATACCATCTTGTATTTTAATAATATGTGAATTTAAAAATATAAAGCATACTTTAAAACTCTGTTTACAACAGTTAAATTGTAGGGGTATGAACAGGTGATCTCTGATGACATACATAAAGACTTTAGTAAGGAACAAAGATAGCATAAAATATTTCAAACCTGTTCATATTCATGTTATTTGTGCTTGTGCCTTGCATACATATAATATGCATAATTGAATTGTTTGCCCAAGGTAACACCAAAAGACAAATATTGCAATGACTGATTTACTCCAATGCAAATAGTTTCAAAAAGGGCATATAAAAATCATAGAAGATAACATTGCAATGATTTGATTCTAGGATGCATGCTTCTTTATATTTTAATGTCTCTGATATCAGAATGTGTCTTATAATTGCTCTTGATCTGAATAGAAGTTGCTTTTTTCCAGAAAGAATTCTTACTTCTTCCCTATTGACCTGATACCTCTTTAAAGTCTCTGTCTGAGGTTTTGGGCCCAGCTTGTTTGTGTGAATTCAGAAAGTAAACCTTCATGAATGCCACCCAGGAGTGGTACTTATGAAGTTCAAGTTCAACTTCAAAAAGTATTTTTTTGTTTTACCACTTTCCACTATCCATGACTATGACTGAAACAGGCAATGTTCCTTGCTGTCTTCATCTGCATAGGAGTTTATTTCTCCTTTAAACTAATACTGACTCATTTTTGTGTCCTAGTTTGATGCTGGGATTATCTATTAGATTGTCCATCTTGGGTAGTTTATCTTAGTACGTAAAACAGTGGTGCATTTTACATTCAGTGTCTTCTTAGACTTGATGAAATTTGATAATTTATTAAAGTTAGGGACTTTTTTGAGGCTGACATCATGCTTAGCTATCAAATCTTGGAACCAAATGCTAAATGCTCAGATTCATAGTTGGAAGAGGCTAAGGCACAGACCATAATAGCGCCGCTACAAAATACTAAATTTATAGCTCTGGAGACCATAAAGATGGCACTGCCAAAGATATTTTATGAAATTTTGGAATGATTTTGATGCCAACCGAGGCATAAATTGAGATGGGGTGGTTGCGGAGATAATTGAGAAGATTGAATTCTGTGGACATTTTACTGTGTGATGCTAGAAAGGAAATGCATGGATGCAGAACAGCCAAAAAAACTATTAGGAAGTGAAATTCAATGATGCCATTAAATTAGAAGATAGGACATAAAATATTTCAAAGGTCCAGAAATATGAGAAGATGTTATGGTTTTAAAAAAATATTGGTACTTATAATGTAGCTTTTTCCTTTCTGGACACATAAATCATATTATGGCTCATTCCTGTTTAGTAAAAAAGGGGAAATGGGAGATAGTTTAGAGTTAAATTGACTTGGCCAGTTTCTTGAATACAAAGTCAGACAAGCTCCAATTTTGTGCACAGCAATTATTTTAGCAAAGGGAACAGATTGGAAACAACCTGAGATTTTTCTTTAGCATCCTGTATTGAGGTGTGAGTGGGAAGAAAAGATCTGCCAGTACATATATATTTAGGGCTTGATACTAAAAGCTCTCTAGGTAAACAGCCACCAGTGATGGAGGAGAGTGTGCTAGGATCAAGGGGAGGTGGAGAAGTATTTTTCTGTTTCACCTGGACCGGTTCGCCCCTTGTGTTGCTTCAAATGAAAGAGAGCAGAGTGCTGAATGAGTGTTAAAGGTTTCATCTAAAGTGAAATTTCTCTCACCTTAATTCTGAGATATTTTACATATAGTTTCTCTATGAAAACCTCAGGATATGTAAAATATAGAGTGTTACAGAGTATGTTTACCATTACAGCTGGAACTGATCATCCCGAAGTGTGTAATTTGGCTTCATGTTGCTTAGCAGCTTTCTGTGAAAACATCTCATATCTTTATATGTTTCCATATGAGCACATATATTTTATTCAATGTGAGAAGTGATATTAGCAAGAGAACATACATGATTTAATGGGGCTGGGCTCTGGATTCTTGCCCATTTTACTTCCAAATACTGACATCAACTATTCCAAAATAATTACTGATTCCTAATGGTAAGACTCAGCCTGTCCAAATGGGAATGCCAGACTTAGTTTCCAAACATTTGACATTCACTATAATCTATCGTGTATGTGTTTTATGTCCGATCAATTAGCAACACAAGCAAACAAGGAATAAAGAGGCTTTCAAAAAAAGATATGTTTTATTGCTGCAGAGCTGCTTGTGCTATTTTACCCTTTCCTCCCATATATCACAAACATCTACTTAGAGTTATTTACCCACACACAAAAAGACCCTGTATCATTGAACTACAGCAATTCCCTTTTCTCCCTACAGTATGCATTCTGATTGAAACACCAGGAGAAGTATTCATTTATGGTCACTTGACTTCCTATAGTTATGCAATTCTATATGCTCAGTTTTTACAGGCTTTATCTGTTCTAATTTTATCAAAGAAATCTTTAAAATCTGAAACACTTTCCAAAGCCCATTAATTCAATGGCCAACAATATTTATTTATCCATGGTCTTACTTTTTTATAATATTCTTTTGGTCAGTTTTTCCCTTTATGTATGCACACTCATAACTCTAGCAAAAACATAGTTTTGAAATATTAACTAAATCTATAAAGGGACTGGATTGCTAAACAAATGGATGTGTCAGTAAGATTATATAAATATATATATTTAATCCCTAGCAATCTTCAAAATATACATGGTGCTATATGTACATGATAGTACATAAGCAATATTTATTAGTCAATCGATTGGTAAAAAAATTATATTTCTTAACAGATTTTATCTTTGAATATGAATGATGTTAAAAATGTATGCCAATTTTTTGTAAAAATTAATAGATGCTATATGGTTCAAATCTCTACTGAAAAACAGAAATAATAGGACAAGTACCTACATTATAACTTGAAATTTTTAGATCATTCACTCAACAAATATTTATTCAATATATACAATATTCCTAATGTACCTGTTGTAAATCTAGAGATCTAACAATGAGCAAGATAGCAAGGTTCATTTTGATATTGAGATTAAAATATGATTGGAAATGAGTTCTGGTCACATTCTCTTGATTACTTCCAGTTGTTGTCATTTACTCTCCACACACAAGCAAATAGATTCTTTAATATAATGGTTTACTACTTCTTAATAGTTCATTGCAGGAATGGTGCTGATCACAATTCAATTGTTACATGAAATAGATTAATAGAAGACTGGCAAATATTTTCTTGTCCAATTGAAGTATGGCATTTGAAAAATTTAAGGAAAGCGTATCAATAAATGCACAATACCCATGAAGGTACAGTCATAGCATTTACTCTAATTTAGTGTTCTCTTTCTCAGTTATAATGAGGATATTGACACATAGGAAAATCCTTGGTGAGAAAATTGTGCAAGCAAAGTTGAGTCCAAAATATTGGCTTCATTCATGGTTACCTGTCTCTTGGTATTGGCATTCCCAGCCAACACTTGAGAAAGATAACTAGGATTTGGAACGTATGTTGGGGTACTATTTGTGGCCACGTTTTCTTAACATGCATGGAACATGAATATTTTACACACGGAATTAGTAAATCAAAACCATGTTAATTGATACAAAATATTAAGACTGCTTTTAGAATTATTGTGAAAAGCACGAACAAAGTTACTAGGATGATTATATTCAATTATAATGTTCACTTTGTACATTTTAGCTGTTTTAACTATGATTTGCTCATTAGCAGTGTTGTCATTGATAATTTTTCCCAGCAGAGGGAAGCATAACCTCATTATTATTTCCATAAATGGTTGAAGGTGAAAGAGTACTACAATTTTACTGCATCTTAAATGAAGATTGCTTGATATTTTATCATTAATAAGCAACTTTCATATTAAATAGGCCTTGACATCTTTTAGGACACATAAAATGAATTTGTCCCAAAATACCCAGTTTAAGGGAATATCCTACTAGTATTTCAGTGTAATGACATTTGCATTACAGTCTATTTGACTAGGATACACACTAACAATATTGAGTTGATATAATCAGAATGTGTATTAATAATTTGCATGAATTATTTTAAGACTATATTTTTTTCTTTAATATATTTTAATGAGGATTTTTGTTGCCTACTTTTTGCAGGTTGCTACTACATACAAAGTATGTACTTAAATGTCTTCTTTTTGTTAATGTAAGAAAGTTGAGTTTTAAATCTCATAAGCATCTAAAAATCTTGAATTTATCACACCTGTGATAATAAAATATAATCTAGTTCTTTAGGATTTTCTTTCTGCAAGATTTTATTTCTCTTTAGGTGCATTTCTTTACGTATTATGGGAAAGATGTCCACACCGTACGCATATATGTAGATATGCTTTATTGCTTATGATTTTAGCCTGGTCTTAGCACGTTGAAAAATGAAAAATGTGACTTACCATGGTGCTGTAAGTCTGAACAGTGAGTCAGTGGGTCTCCATTTCTTATATCTTGTCGTCTTGTGCGTCTGAAAAAATCACATTTAAAAGGTATGATCATATCCCAATTTTCCCTCTTTGCAATTGTCATATGAATATGTATATCAAAAGACTCTAAGAACTTATAGGAGGAGATACATCTACATTCGACCAAAAGACTTTTAAAAGAAGTTTATTATCCTTGTAAGAGTAATCACCAAGATGATCAAAATAGGAAACAAATATCCAAATGTACTAACAATATGTTAAAATTCTAAAATATAGGATAACAGAGAATTCGTGGGTTTTCACTAGCAGATGTCAATCAGATAACAATCTAATATCTAGAAACTCTAGGCTTAAATTCTGAGGAAAGAGCAAAAAATTTAGAATAATAAGCCACTTCTTCAATAAAAGGAATTAAACTTTTTTTTTGATTAGTAATTAAGGAGTAAACTTGAAAATTAAAATTCACATGAATGTTCTCTTTCTCTTAATGCTTGTACTTAATTCCTTAAATAGACTTTTGTTACATTTTATAACATTAAAGCTAGGAATTCTATTTTTAAGTTAGTTTTTAAATTTATTTTTTTGGTTGCTACATCAAGCATTTTTTAAAAAAAATTATTTTTTCATCATATGGCTATGATTGCAAACCAATTTACCTGCGTAGTGAATAAAAGGAGAAAAACAACAAGTGTTGGACTCCTCTTTTTGTCAGAGGATGTGAGAGACAAGAAGTGGACTTCTATCTAAGAGAAAAGTCAAATTTGCTTATAAAAGTGAAAATTAAATTTCGTCTGCATTCTAATCTCAGATCATATGTTAGCTGCAGTATATTCTAGACATCCTTTCTCTATGCTGTGTTAATGATTGCCTGGGAAGGAGGAGGTGGGCTCTAGCCATTGTGGTGCAAAAAAGATATGTAGTTCCAGGAAGAAGCTAAAAATGGAGAGTGGCTATGTGTAACAGACTGGAAAAGATTGAGGGACACTTGCCCAACTGTTTTCCACAGCTATTTTAATGGGTATTGTCTTGCTGCAAAATTAGTTACTATCCCTAAAAAGAGCTCTCACAAAGGCCATTGAGAATTGCAAATATGGAATTTGTTACTGTATTCATAAATTTAGAAGTCTCAAGTATTTATAGATTTCTATTTGTAGAATTAGTGAGACTATCAAACAGATGTTGCACATTTCAAAATTGAGCCAACAAGAGAACTTGTGAAACACGAACCACAAAGCGTTTGAGAAAGGCATTTTTTCACTGCCATTTAAGCTTTTGAAAAATGCCATCACG